AGTAACTTTGTGAACTTGATGGGTATTTTAGCAAAGTTAAACATTTATTTATTCTGAGTAGTACGAACATCAATCATAGCATAGTTGATAGTAATAGTCATATTTTTATTATATGTTTAGGTTTACCAGAACCCATCACTGTTGATGATCATACAGAAAATCTGAAACCTATTAATCCAGAGATTTCTTCTCTTAAAGGTAAGTTTATAAATTCTCGGTTAAGGTAGCTGGAGAATAAGGAAGAAAACAGTTGTTAGTTGTCTCCCCTTTATCTCCAAACCCTTTTTAATGAACTCGCTCTAATATTTCAAAAATACATCAAACATTTAAAGATGAGCACTTATCTAGGTATGACTTTATATTGTCTACTTTCAATTTCAGCACCATGTCTGCTATTTACCACTGAAGAAATCAAGAAATATATTGATCAACTTGAAACGAAATTAAAATATTTTCATCAGAAAATGCAAGAAGCTGAAATAAGAATAAATAATCAACAGTCTCTTCTCGATCAACAGGAAGACGAATTGATATTTTACCGAAAATTTCATAAAACTGGTAAAAATGACGCCAATGAGTTTATCCCTGAAGAATATGAAAGACTCGAAACACCACCAGAGGCAGAATTTCGCAAGTACTCCTTTGGCAAAAAGCTAAAGGTTGAAATGAACCCTACAGACGTTGATCCTGATATAAAGGAAGCTGTAGATAGAAGAATACAAGAGATCTTAAATAAAACAGAACTATCACCAGGATCATCTTTGCCAAGTCATAATTCATTTCAAAATATTATTTACATCAATCATGAATTCGATGATGAGATGTTAAATCCAACATCACCAAGATCCTGCGAATCTCCTGTTCTATTTATAGAAGCGGATACGTCATCAATACAAGATCATGATAAATCCGTTGATACTTTATCACCTGAAAATTCTGCTCTACGTAATGCAACAAGCAATCCTCTGGAACCCGGCGATTATGAAGGACCTAGCCAATTTCAAGAAGTACACACAATAAGAGAACAGACAGATATGAAACCTACCTTAGAGGACCAAGCTGCAGATCAGCTCCTTCAACAATCAAAATCTAGTCAAGATCCGTACAAATCTATAAATATTCAAGAGTGTGGAACTGGGATGAAATATGACATCCCAGCAAGCCCAAGTCCAAACCCAGAAGTCAATATCAGAGAAGACTTTGAGTTTCAACAAATCATAAAATCATCTGGAGTAGAAAATGAAGAAAATAAGTTAACAGAACAGCTTGAAAGTACAACCAGAATGAATCACAACTGAGTGATCTGTTGGAAATCGTGAAAAACATATCTACATCACAAGACGATCAGGTTCAAGCGAATGATGTACAGATGACTCAAGAGGAACAACAACTAATTGAAGAACTTGAAAAATATGTTGGAATTTATGAGGTCAGCTTCGAATCCTTTACTGACACCCATAATGAATTTCCAATGGTTGAAAAAATGCCTTACATCGATATAGGATCTGTTCTACTAAAATTAGAAACATCCGAACCTACAGACCTAATTGCTCCTTCAAAAGGAAAACATGTCAAAAAGTTGGCCCGAAAAACGGAAGTTGAAATTGAGAATGGACGACGCCCTGTTAAGTCCGCGTACAGGAAGAGCACATATCAATCAATGTTATCTTCAATTGAATCAAAGAAGATCGACCTTCCAATAGTTTCAGACTTCAATACCAGAATACCGCTACCAGATATTTCAACAACTGGTTATATATCACACTCCTCATCACGCAGAGCAGCTGAAACAAGATTATTGGTTGGGAATGAAAGTGTGTCTAAAATCAATCAATTGGATAGACGAGGTGCTCTACCACAAATACGTGCTGGATACTCTAGGAAACCACATTATCAAGATGTAGATGTATCATCATTACCAAAATTAAATCCAGGTTATAATAAATCAAATACAAAAACCAACTGCCAAGGAAAAGACGAAGAAATTGTTCTGCCGCAAATTAAATCAACATCATTATCAACTCCAACAGTTTCAAATCACAACCTTAGACAAAGAATCAAAAGCAGTCTTTTACCAGATATGACAAAATCAGAAAAGTTGCCTTCAATCTTATCAATTAATACATCAAGGCAAGCAAAAGCATCGACGTCCAGTGTAGGGAAAAGTCAAGGCTTCACGAAATCTGCAACCTTTAAACAACCGAAGGTGTTACTTCCGGTTCAACCTAACCTCTATCAATCGAATCGTCGTAAAGAAAGACGTCCCGGTAAATTACCACCTATTTGTAATCTAGGTTTAGATGATAACCTGGTAGCAAGGAAGGATTAGAGACTTAATTAGAAAATTTAAACGAAGAAATATTTCTATACATTATCCTTGTTGATAATAAAACATTTATATAATTTTATATTTCTGTCTTTTACATTCTATGTTGGTCCGAGAAATATTTCACATTTCGTGAAATTCACGTCATTTAAGCGCATGGCTTCCCATCTTGCTTTATTATATACCAACACAAAGGGCCCTTCTAAATTGAAAAGAGGTAAAAACGATATGATATTTTCTGATCGTCTCTGGCTGATTTATTTTTCATCATCAGTTAATAAAATAAGATAGTGACTTGATTTGCATGACACTCTTTATTACTTAATCTATTTGAATTGCATGTGTATTGGGACTCTGATGAATCTTATTGTACCATTCTTATTTACAATCCATCGTATATGGTATTTAGTCCGGTGAAAAAAATAGAGCACAAACAAAAACATGAAGTCGACCAACGTTGTGTCATTACACAGACAATGTCTTTTACAACAGTACTGCCAACAGAAGCGGCAATGTTTTTTGCTTATTAGATTAGAGCGATAAAACACACATGGTATACACGGCGCAAACAACAGCGCTCAGACTAAGTATATATCGAGATTGGGCTCCATTTACTTCCTTATTATATTCAATAATAGAATCATTCAAAAAGACTGATTTATAACTTATTATTGGAATAGCAATATGTTTCTTCGCTTGACCAAGTTCTGAAATGACAAGGATATGAAAGGATAAATTGTAAGATTTGAATGATTGAGTTTTTCCCCTTATCGTTCACTATTTCAGACAAATATTCATTGATTTCCATCAGGGGCATTACATTGTGCTCAATGGTTGTGATAACAGCTGTTTTGTATAACACCAGGTTATACTCTTAAAGCGCTCAACTTGTAGTCGTCATAACAAACTATTGCAAAGCATAACACAAACTCGAAAAGCCAAAGCATCGAAACTGTACGTTGTACTTACAAAACATGCATTTTTAAATATCGTTATACATACCACCATAAGTCAAACCATGAGCTAAATGAAGATACCCGGATTTGCCAAGGTCAAAGGTCACTGGACCTTTATAGTCAATAGTTGACAATCTATCTCGAGTAAATCTGCAGTAGATCATACCACTAGCCAGTTTCGTTTCTACACCAGAATATCCTTGCTGCAATAGAGAATGTTAGTTATAAAATCCAGACGGCGTGGGTTTTAAGGTTTTGATACTTCACACTTTGCAAATAAAATCCAGCATTAGGTATATCTATTTTAGATCGAAATCGACAACCAAAGGCCAGAACAAAAGAATATAATAACCTTGGTTTTTATAACGTTACATAGGTCTAATTCACAGAAGCATGAAAAGCCGTTGTGGGGTGTTTTATTCTAAACTTACAGTTAATTCCTGTACGGTATATTTAGCTGGGTTGAATGAATACTGAATACCAACATAATCAGTTACAACAGCGCACAGAAACGCCTGATCGCTTCCCTAAATTAACAAAAAGAATTGATTAAACTTAACTACACAACACTACTAGGGTAACATGGTGGAATACGCACCCCCTAAGAACTTGATTTGGAAGAATATAAAAGTGGGAACTATGATGACTAATACGTAAACCTCAGTTAATTATATATTAACAGTGACTTTATATAGCAACCACTTAACTTATTTTGAATATGAAAGGGCATCCTTTAAAACCTTAAGTGCGAGTCGTCTTGCCCTGATGATAATGAGAGGGTGACATACCACAAAACCCTAACTGTTTTGTAAACAGGTCAATAAGAAATAGTTAAAGTGAGGCTGAAACGTCTCAAGGACACTTAAGAAATTGCAATAATCCAAACTTGCGACACACACTCCAAATATTAGATGAAAACTGGTACAAACGTTTTATTATCTTAAATAATTTCAGCAGGCCTTCAAATTAATTAGCTACAAACATGGTTGGATGTTGGTGGGGATTACGCGACTAACGGGGACAGATAAAAACGCCATCTGATGATTAACCTTAGAGGTATCCCCATAAAGCATCTTGCCTCGAGGGGAGTACTCCCCCATGCTACTCTACTACGAATCAAGATTAGTATTATTTGAAATGGAGATAATAATCTTCCTATTTTTTTTTCCTGTAATGGCGTTAAGTGAAGACGTGCAAATCGACTCAACGTCAAGTTGCTTGGACCAATAATGGAGGAATTTGAAGATTTCTAAGGCAGTGACATTGGCTTACGTATGTTTTGATTCCCTGAGACTGAAAACTATTTGCATCATGACAAGATAATAATAGTTCAGTGGTGTCTCAGACGTTTATAATCACGATTAAGATTAAGATTATTCAACGTATAGCGCTCATCACTGCTCTGATGTGAGCAATCATGTGAATCAATAGAACAGAACATGTTGTTAATCAGAGTTTCACGCTATGCGATCTTAAGACAACTGACCTATTTTCAGCCTGCGTCGCTACTGAAGTTCTAAGTAACAACATGATTCAAGTTTTAATATTTCTTAATAATACATTATAATAGTAGACTTCATAACATAAGAATTGATTTTACCATTACGCGATCTTCAGAAATTGCAAGGCCAACCCAACCAGCACCACTTTCTGATGGTCCGAACATCTCAAAGGAATAAGTCTCATCCTGGTTCTGTTTATAAGTCACCCCCAAGTTACAATCATTTCCAGAACAAGATGGTGGATGCAGGAAACACCCTTTTGATGCACCACATTCTGTTAGAGATATATCTTCGAAAGAGTTGGAAATATTTGGTAACTGAAATTTTAGAAAATTTATTGAAAAAATATATATATAAATATTTAGAAAAATTATCTTGGAAAAAGCTTTCGGACAAGCGATTAAGAAAGAAAGGGACAAAGAAACAACCACTTTTACATGAGCTACAGCTTGTGTCCCGAGGATCTTTTCTATCAGCTGGTCCTTTGCCAAACCTGGTTTTTATTCTTACCCAAGATTACTTATTCTATACCACCAGATATGAGACGTTTTCTGTTCTACGAAAATAACATTACACTATAAGGCTCGCGAAAACAACATAACATGTAATTTTCATCTCTTATTTCCAAAGAAATGTTGTAATACTCAGTATATTTTTTTAATGTGAGAAAATGACTGGGGTTTATTTTGTGAATACAATGTGAATAGTCTTTTAAATTATACGGTTTCTTAATTTTGTGATAAAGAATATCTTCACACACTTTGGTTACAATGATTTTAATGATAATGATGTAGAAAAGACATGTAACTTGTTTGTGAATAGATAGAAGACGTTAAAGGGGTTGTAAAGGGGTTTTCTAAATGTGTATCGGGTACAGTGATAGCATCAGTTTGTACCATTCCAATTTTCAATCAGACGCCAGACGTCAGCAATTCAACTACGACTAGGCGTTTTATGACGTCACTATCGCGGATGTTCTTATATCATTAAAAGTTTTGGCGATAGTGACGTCATTAAACGCTCATTAAAAGTTTTAGTGTAATTGCAAAAAACCATACACGTCTGATTGAAAATTGAAAATTTATATACATAAATAGTTAAGAAAACATCTTTATAATCCCTTTAACATCAGATTTCGAAATTACCCAAACCTGATCGGGATATCTAGATAGTAGATCTTCTATTGAAAATGAAAAAAAAAATCTAAACCCGGACCCTAGCTGTTTAACAAAAGATCTTATAATAAATTTTGCCGTAAATGTAATATTTCTGCACTGAAGCAGTGACGTCACAAAATTGTCCTGGAAGAACCCTCTCAGACGCTTCTTGAGAGACATGGGATTTTGGAGCCTCCACAGGGTTGCCATATTTTGAATTCAGCCTCGACAGTTTCCCTCCCCCATTGAGTCAGCCTGCTCCATATTTAACTGCGCCGCCACTGCATTTAAGACAAATTGTTAGGGTTTTTGGAAAAAGGGTGCTGAATTCAATATTAAGTGTTAAGCACTCTCACCTGATATGTCGGACCAACAACACTAGTTGCAGATTCAGCTTGGACCACTGCTTTCACTCCAAACCAAAATGTTTTATAATCTTTTACAATGGTCGCTCTGGAAAAAGTTAACATGTTGATACAGATGACACGCGGCATTAGTGCATAGTATCTTCACAATGTCAAACCATTGCGATCTGTGTCTTATACTTTGACTACAATAACCACCTTTCTGGCATAACGGAAGTTTGTAAATGTAGCAATTTAAATCCAATATTGATTGGATCGTGCTACATGTATTATCTGAAGGCTATGATTGCAGCTGTATTCTATAGTGTGCAATCCAATAAAATTGCTGCATTTATAAACTTCCATGATGCTGTCTGGTATTATACGCAGTGCTTAAAAGCTTGACATTATGAAGATGAGAATGCCTGGAGAATCATAATTTGATATACAAATCTATTGTTTTCACGACGTTTGTGGCTCCTCTCTTTTTAGAAAAACCTAGGCAGCTCTTGACGTATTAACTCAAAATCCTCAAAAGATGAAAGATCAGGAAATTGCACCTGTTCGGGCATTATCGCAATGTCAAGCTATGAATAACTGCATCTTATATATTTTAGATGAAGTTAGTAATACTTGACATTGAAATGTTCTTCAATATATATCTGATATGCCCTTTCCTCAGTTTTACGTTGTAGGATGCACTTTTGACATTTTGAAATTTCTTCAATTCAGAATTTTTAAGAAACAAGAGAAAATTACAAAACTAATGTAAAATACGTACGTAAACTGTATATCGCCTACACTATGATCGGGTGCTTTCCATGTTACTGTGACATTTGTTACTGATTCATTGTTTTTATGTGTTACAAGATTCTATCAAATAAATACATAGTAGATTATTGAAAAGTATGATTTACATTAAATTGTCTTATTTTGCCGAGGTCGGGATACAATAATCATAGAGATGTTTAACTACTGTGAAATACGGTATTTGTACCATTTCATTAAAGATATACGAGACCATGCAGAACTTGGTCATCAAGTCATTCAATTTCCCGCTTCTCAAAATATCAAATTCTTTGGACTCAATTATCTTGATACTTAATGACCAAGAGTTTAATTGGCTTCAAGTTAAAACAATATTTTTTCAACACCATGAGAACTGTGAAAAATTTGAGAGGAAATTCTCTATGTGAAATGCGTGTATTATTGCAGATATATTTAGTGAATTTTATCAATGTGAATGAGTTGGTACCTAATCTGAAATGATCTCTAAAAAAATTCACATCTCAAAAGTCGATTTGTGCACAATTTTATCAAAATCAGATAACTGTTCATTTTTTTTTATATTTCTCGTCTCCATTGTAATCTAACAAGGTGTCACAACAGTCACGTTTAATTTATTGTTATTTTCAACCAATCAAAGCGTGTAATGTAGTGTCAGTTTCGTCATAATAAATTCAATAACGGATTATATAATAACTTGTTAAGATTTCAATGAAGAAGAAAATATCATAAAAAGAAAAGAAATTGTAATCTTCTTTTAATCAGATTAGTATGTGTAAGAAGCTCGTTAATGAGAAGAAATAATGAACTCTTACTTCAACTTGTCTTCATTAGTTTTATCATTAGTGTCCATTGTCATATAATATATAATTATGTTGTCTACTTGGTGAGAAACTTTGTGGTTTTACAAAAATATTAGATAGGTCCAACTGTTAATTTTACATGTTAATGAGGTCAGTGAACACCATGTAGAATAGGCCTTTTAATTAAAAAGTCTCTGCATCAGACAGAAAAACATGGGCACAGTCAGCTAAAGAAAGTGTAGAACGTATTTAAACTGTACATACACTTTTACCAAAGAAACAACTTTGTGTTTGAAGTTTGTCACTGGTATAATTTGTAAACTCTCCCATCATTTCCTCTGTATTGCCTGATACACGATGTACTCGCATTTCTATACCTTTAAAACTAACATCATCGTCTGACTTGACTATCACTGAAAAATAACAGAAGTGGAAAATATATAAAGATAAACGATATTAGCTACGTGGAGTGACAATCCATCGACAGTTGAAACTCGAAAAAGAGTACAGGCTAATGCCGCTGTCCTGGCAAAATTGCCAGTGGCGGCGTAAGCTTTCCGAGAATGGTGGTACAAATAGGAGGCAGACTGACTCAATTCGGCTTCTCTGTGGTGGTGTAATAGTTGCAAGCCTCTCATAGAGCGTCTAAGATGGTTCTCTCGAGAAAATATTTATAAAATAATAAATTCTGACACATATTTTGGACCCCCACTGGCGCTCCCATTCCACACTGCATGGCGATGCCCGTCTTCATTAGCCCATAAGTTGAAAAATGTAGGACGTAAAAATCTCCATTCAGTTCATATCATTTCAA